GGATCCAATGAGTCATGGGCGCCCGAAGCCTATGGGAATTGATGATTTCTACGCTACAAGTGACGAAGCAGTTAGCGTTGACACTGATGACGAAGGGGCGGGTGATATCTGGGAGAATTCGCGAAGAAATAGTCTTCGAGATATCGCAGCTGCAACAGCTGCAATGGCGAATGTTTCTGTAAAGGACAAGCTTACACTTGAAGCAGCTCAAGCTTCTCCAGGATCTACCCCCGCATCACCAACAGAGATCGCCCCGTCACCTTCGGCAATGATGGCAGCTTGGAAGGAGAACTTTGCAGTGAGCCTTCAAAATTTCCAGAATCATTGGAATCTTCCAGCTATGCCTACCGCCGCCGGGTTCCAACAGAACCTCCTTCAGAATCTCAACCCGTGGTCCGCCGCAAACCCGAATCCAACCCAGCAAGACATGAAAGATGGAGATTACAAGTGGTGGGAACTCTTCAGCAATCCTCAAGCACCACCTGCTTATGACGAACTTTTCCCTTGGCCTGGACAACCTTCAAACTCGGCCGGTGATATCGTCTTGATGAGAGGAGCAGATGCGGACGATGCAAAAGTAGTGGAACCAACAATTATCGAACGCGCTGAAAGTCCCTTATCCGCATCTTCAAGTGCAACTTCGCTTGATATGGGCGAGTTGCAACGAAGAATCGCAAAGGGTGGTAGAGATATCACCAAAGCACAGCAGGATGAGTACCGCGCACATGCTCGCAAGATGAAGAAGATTAGCAATGATAGACGGTTATATTTTTTCTGGGTAAGCAGAATCCTCTTGTTCTCTCCGATGATATAAACTATTCCGCCTTTGGACTTCGACTAACAAAGTCTCTAGCTGCCTGTCTTAATCCTCATCATGATGGCCATGGCGACAAGTTGGGGACCCCGGATATGGTCCACCTCAAAGATCGTATTTTCTTTCGCCCGGGACGCAATCCAAGACCCATCAAGCGTCAGTGATCGGTTAGGTGCAATCATAGTGAATGCAGTCGGCGGTGAGCTAGAAGCAGTGTAGTTTGTTTATATTGTTGACTTGTTCTTTGCAATTTGGTTCCTTATGTTGGATGTTATTGATCCCTTCAGATTTCTTTATTGAGCTAATTCCTTTGAATCTCCCCATCTAAAAAGCTGTTTTATTTCTTTGCTCGTTTATTATAGCTTGCTTCGTTATTGCCTTGTGTTTATTGTCTTCAGCGCACTTGTTTTCAGCGCAATTCTTTCTGTCAGCGTGATAGATCGCGTCGACGTCTCCTTTAAATGTTTCTCTATTATAACATTGGTGGATTCCTTTTTTGTTGTATTTTCGTTGGTAAAGAGTTCGAGTTAGGAGGCGTTTTAGTGTTTTTTTTTGGGTATTCGTTTGTTTCTTGCATGTAGTTGAGGATGGCTTACATGCTAAGATACACTGGGCCTTTGTAATAGCCATAATGATGACGAATGTTTGGTTTCCCTCGGTTTTTCCTCGCTCTTATATGTAATCTAAGGTATCATTACTTTTTAAGATTTGAACTGCAGTCTCAGCTCTCAATACAACCAGCAGACCTTATTAAATGAGTATATGTGGCTGAGGATAAACCCAAGCTGGAGTCGTCCCTTCAGTTCAATAGTGAATGGGTCAAGAAAACCAACAAAAGAGCACCGGCTCCTTATCCATTTGAGACCCCTGTGATTGGTCGAGAACTCTCCACCCGGCATTGTCCAAGAAATTTCTGTATCCCTCCAAAAGTTAAAAGATGTCTCAGGAGTCGGTTCTTATTCGGGTATAATAATTGTGCCTTGATTGGTTGCTAATGAAATCCCCTAACCCACGAGTCTACCCCCGCAGGAAAGTCACCATTTTCGATCCAGTGCATTAAAACCCAGCAACGATTTTGCCGAAGAAAACCCATTGCTTAAGTGCATATCAAGTTGATGATAAAGATGCGGATAAAGGGGAGGCCCGAATCCGAATATCCACGGTTCCGCCCGGGGTTGGGAACGTTAGGAAAAACTTGAATTTAATGGCTATATAGCCGCTTGCCGTTTCGAGTGATCATGCGTGACCCCAACAATGATTCCAAACCCTAGCATGGGCCTTGATCGACTAAATAAATCATAGAGGAGAGTAACTCTATGAGTACAGTTAAACGTATAGTTTGTTTAGTCTTCTTTTCTCCAAGTTATTTAAGATATTTGTTACTACTGTAGGGCATCCCATACGTGGAGCTGCCGTATATTGTTAGAAGTACAGAATTGCCGAATCGAACGCACAGCACCTACATATAATTCGTGGATAATTGATAGTTCTAGTTCTTTAAATTGAGGGTTGATAGGTAAAATACCTTGATAATCTGAAGGCCAGCCTTTAAGCGATTCACCGAAACTTTGCCCCAAACTTCTCCTATGTAGCCCAGTTGACCCATGGCCTAATTCACTCGGGAATAGGGTTTATAGAGTAACAAGTCGGTTTATAAATACTAATCTCGGCCTCTAAACCCAGGGTCGATAATATGACGTATTCCCTATGTTGTGATTGGAAAAATACGAGCCCTAAAGGCCATTTTACATAGCGCTGTAGTCTCTTTATCACACCATAGCTATCCGGTGGCTGCCCTAAATAATAAACATATCAGTATCGCCTCTGTGTTGGGATTGCTCTTCAGCAAAGGGCTGGGGGGGCGGACTAATTTATGTTCCCTGACCTCTAGTTCTGATAAAAAAATTCAACAAACAATAGCCGTAGTTACTATCTCTTTCCCAATACATCGACAGAAACAGAAACCTTAGGTGCGCACGTGCCGTCTGATCTCAGCTGTCAACGGTCAGCCCTAACTGAAATGTTTGACTATTCTTCCCAGGTTCTTTGAGTGACAGCGGCCCGAGCCCAGGTGCAAGCTGTCAAAAAAAAAAACAAGTTGGTTGTGATTGAAATACAGCGACGGTAAGGTCAAAATAGGAAGTTTGGTTATATCGTAGATGAAGCAATGTCTCCTATTCCCTCCTGTATTCAGTTTACACCACCCTCGAGTGATCCTTCGAATAATCAAGACCAAATCCACAGCGGTCGGGATATTTGGATATAACTTTAGAAGTTTTACCCCTTTGGTGGCTGATACCAAAGCTTCTATGGTAGTATATGCAATACTCCAATCAAGATAAATGCCGCAGAAACGATACCATAGAATTTTTCAAATACTTTGCCTGAAGGAAAGTTAACATCTCGGGACAAAAGACTGGGAGATACTAGGACAGGTCTGGTTTTTATACTACGTATGCAGCAGAAACGAAGAAAAATACTTCGGGACCATTCAATTATTTTTTTGAAAGCAAGAACCAAGTCAGTTTCCCATTGGAACAGGTTGTTTAATTTATTGTGCAGGTTGAAGCTTGGGATAGGTATGTATTATGAGTCTAAATATCTATGCTAGAAGGGTTTAAGAATGCTAAGATACTAACGGTTACTCCCGAGGACTTGGCTTTGAGGCTCAAGTGTACGCGAATGTGTCTTACCTGCGCTATCATGGTGTCATGGGCATGCACTATGATCGTAGCAGGGGTCGGACCGGTGTCAATATCGTCTTAAACATCGAATACACGTGGTGACGGGGCTCAGTGGTAAGACTTCTTTGGTAAAATTCCACCGGCATCTATTTAGAGCTCTAGATGGCATGAAATATTTGACAAATGCAAGTCTTCCCATGACCGGGTTTATCTCGAGATGAACGTGTGTTTCTGCAGGGAAACATTAGGACTATTCTACAGTTGTATCCGAATGGTCTGTTACGAAGAAAGCTTTCGACTTCAACACGTTATCTGGGGCCGGCAGAGAGACGCCGGAAAAACATCGTACCAACACGAGATGGCATACCACTCTCCGAATCACTAGTACCGGTATTAGGGCCCTTATTACCAGTAAGCGAAAGAAACGGAATAATCGCACTGGGCGATTTCACATGATAAAATACTCAAACAGGGTGTTTGAGGGCTCAGGAGAAATAATATCCCTGGTCGCGCTTGTATGAAAATCCGATCCGATCCGAGAAAATCCACACACCTGGTTGCGCGCTGCGACAAACCTGACTCGAACTTCTTTGGGATAGACCCCACAACGTTTAATTTTGAGCCCCATTGCGCCGGTTGATCTGATATCGTGTTTAGTTGGAATGAGAATCATGTACTGCTTACACGTATGTAGTTAGTCGGTTCGGGATATAATATATATTGTATTAATGCACAGGCAGTTGACTTTACCAGCTTGTACATAGATACATGTAGTATTGTTACGTGTCTTTTTATGTTTCTTCCCATCTTTAGTTTTGCCACAAGATCGAGAAGTGATGATGATGAGGGAAGGTATTTGAAGGGAAAAGATTCTTTTTTTGATAAGTTGCATGATGTTTGCCTGAATGGATCTCGGAGATCTGAATACTAGAGGTTCGACTGAGGGGTACCCAAGGAGCTAGAACCAAACATGTTCTAGAGGCGAGGGAGGTGATTGGGCGCAGGGTTGTTTAGACATAATCGGACAAGGAGAGTTTTTTTTACTTGCAGCTTATCCCAGGAGTTACATAGGTCGCACTGCAGGATGTCGCATGGTAGAGTAGCAACGGTGACATGCTGTACTCGACGGATATGGGTACATTGAGCTTTACGGTTTTATGGTAGGTTGTGGTGAAAGTGACAGTCATAATGGTGGTGGTGCGTGCGTCTGGTGTCTGGTGTCTGGTGTCTGGTGTCTGTCTTGTCTGGCGTCAGAAGGACCAGCGACCGTCAGAAAGACTTCCCGCTTGAGTTACAGCAACCACTTCCAAGTTCCCATATTTATAATTTCTTCCCTCCCCCTTCCCTCCCTTTATATTTTTTTTTCTAACCATCAGCTACTAATTATTCTATATTACACCTATTATTCTTTACTACTAGTGCCATCTCACCTAGCTCCTTCTAACCCCTCTTATCTACGGAATTCATCTCATCTTCCCCACTTCGTTTTAATAGTAGCAAAGATGGTCCCACCTGCGCACTCTGCTGCCCAGGCGACTTCACATTCTCCCAAAATGTCAACAGCTCCCTCAACGTTCCATCGCACCACTTGTCACTCTCCTAGTCATCTAAGCACCCTCTCAATACCAGATATTTCTGAGGATTTGATGTCTCTAGATGTTGGCGGAGGCCCAGCCATTCCAATCGTCTCTCCTGCATCTCCTCCTGTAATGTCTGCTGCTCTCAATCCCGCCCACAGTCCGTTGCCGATTAAGCAAACACAGCACTCGTCGATTGCCAAATCTGTCATGAACACACCTGCGATGACTCGAACCAATTCCGGTGGGCGCGATATCGACCACCTTGCCCCTCCCCCTACTTCTGCAGCTATTGGACTAGGGTTAAACTTTTCGGATACGCCAGCCGCTACTGCTCCAAATTCTCCAAGAATGTGAGTTTCTTATGATCTTATGACTCAGTTTAAGGAATTCTTCGTATTGACAGTAATCCAGCCGGGCCACCACCTTAGATATTCCGGGTCTCACAAAATCTAAAGTGTCGCCAGATGGCCGCATTGCAAACCGTGATATCGGTGCGAAGCTTGTTATCGTAATGGTTGGACTTCCGGCTCGAGGGAAGAGTTACATCACAAAGAAGGTGGCAAGATACCTTAATTGGCTTCAGCATGACACCGAGATCTTCAATGTTGGCAAGAGAAGGCGTATTGCTGCTGGCGCTCCGGATGGTTTGGTCTCCACCTCAGGACCTGTCACGGCGGCGAATCTGCTCAAGTTGTCAAATACCTCATTTGCCCCACTCCCCCCTCCAGCTAATGGTCACAAGCGCACCGATTCCACTGTTAGTGATATTGCAGGGGGATTAGACCAATCTGCTGCGTTTTTTGATCCAGCGAATAAGGCTGCTGCAGAGCTTAGGGAGAAGGTTGCTTTGGAGACACTGGATGAACTTCTAGACTACGTGCTGCATCGCGGGTCTATTGGGATCTTGGATGCCACGAACTCAACCTTAGAAAGGAGAAAGGCTATCGTAGATAGAGTGAGAGAAGTTGCGGGAAAAGAGTTGGGTGTGCTATTCTTGGAGAGCGAGTGCCATGACCAGCAATTGCTTGAGGCAAACATGCGCCTGAAACTAAGTGGTCCAGATTATAAAGGCCAGGATCCAGTGAAGGCATTGGAGGACTTCAAGAAACGAGGCATATTTCCCATCGCTGAGCGAATACTAGGAGCTATCCATACTAACACTTCTTTCAGTTGCTATTTATGAAAAGAACTATGTTACCCTTGGTGAATTCGAGGAAAAACAGGGAATGCAGTATATCAAGGTATCATTAATTGACCTACTCTTTAGAGTTCTGGTAAACTAATTTGTCTTCTAGATGATTGATGTTGGGCGCAAGGTGGTAACCCACCAAGTTAAGGGCTTTCTTGGCGCCCAGACTGTTTATTTCCTTTTGAATTTCAACCTCGCTCACCGTCAGATCTGGATTACTCGCCATGTAAGGAATTCATTTTCGTTGTTTAAAATTGGTATTAAAGAATCTGCTCTAACAGAATTTTTTAGGGGGAATCCACCGACAATGTGCTTGGCAAAATTGGAGGAGATGCTCCCTTGAGTGAGGAGGGAAAGAAATATGCAAAAGCTCTAACATCTTTCATGGAACGTAAGTTTTCGAGAAGCTTTAGATCAATTCTTCTTAAGCTAAATCCTATTTTTGTAGATCAACGTAGACTTTTCAGGCAACGTCAATTACAGAAACACGAGTCCGCACACATGCCCCCTCGTGCCGGTGATATCACACCTCCCAACCCTGAATATTCCAAGGGAGATTCAATGGATGAGGATGGCAGGCCTGCAGAGAAGAACTTTTGTGTGTGGACATCAATGCTTCAAAGGAGTATCCAGACTGCCCAATACTTTGATGAGGAGGAGTTTGACATCAAAGAAATGCGGATGCTCAATGAGCTCAGCGCGGGAGTGGCTGAAGGAAAGACGTATGATCCCCGTTACCTTAATATCTTACATATTGGCTCATTGAATTAACAACATCTCGTGTCTTTAGATACAATGATATTAAATCCATATGGCCAGATCAGTATGCTTTGCGGAAAGCAGATAAGCTTCATTATCGCTATCCCGGAGTTGGCGGCGAATCATATTTGGATGTTATCAACCGTCTTCGTGCAGTCATCGTTGAGGTGGAACGTATGACCGACCATGTGTTGTTGATTGGACACCGAGTCGTTGCAAGAGTCCTTCTAGCATATTTTCTTGGATTGGACAGAAAAGACGTTGCCAAATTAGACGTTCCGTTGGGCAGGATTTATGGTCTTGAACCGGTGAGATGCACATTTTATTCTATTGTCAGTTTTTGCAGCTATACTAACTTGTAATAGAAACCTTATGGGACTCAATTCAATACGTATCAATACAACCCCGAAACTCAATGGTTCGATCAAATTCCAAATAGCCAGCTCATGAGCGAGGAAGGAACGCTTGTCAAGGTCAACAATTAAGCCACTAAGTTCTAATCGTCTCCATGAGCGGTGCTATCTGGAATTACTCGTTTTCTTTTAACATCTTACCTGGGTCATTTTTGTGGGTTTCTTTTTTCCTTTTTTCCTTTTTTGCGAAAAGAATGTGCGTGATGGATGGGAAAGCAGACTAAAGCCGTTGTTCTGTTTTGTTCGGTTTTGGTGGGCGTTTGTGATATTGATTCTTTTCTTTTTTCAAAAATTCCTCCTCCTTTACAATCTCCTTCATCTCTCTACGAGATTTACATGTACAACTACATATCTCTCAAAAACTCTCTACTTCAAGTTTCTTTCTTCCTTGGTCGGTCTGTTAAAATGATGTTTTTGCTCTGCGTTTAGGAATAAGCTTTTTGTTCGCATTTCTTTTTCCCAGGGAATTTCTGATCACCCTTATACCCGATTGGTATAGGCTTTTTTCTTTTATGGCACGCCACTTTTCTAGCGTTTTATATTTTTCTTTTTCCATGTCTTTCCTCAGATTTCTTTTAGATGAGGTTGGGAACTTGCGGTCAGCCTAGACTGAACCACGATTCTTCGGCGGGGACTCGATCTTCACAGTGGTTGCTCCGTTAAGGTAGATAGATGGTGGGGTTAAATGTCGTGTTGTACCAATGAACGTCACGTGCCTTTGTGCGTCTGCATCTAGCCAACAATATATTCTGTCTTTTTTTTTGTTTCAAACCGGGTGGCCCTGAAAAACAAAAACACTAGCAAATGGGAGCAAGATGAGCCGAGCCGTCTATCTCATCACTCATCACTGTAGAAACACTTTCGTTTGCCCGGGGAAATTCCTCTGCCCTAGCTCGACAAGATGCAGTCTTCCAGAAGGGTTTGGCCACATGTAGTTTGGCCCTCTTTTTTTATTCCACCCCGCGCAATTCTCCGTTATTCAACTGATAGAATGCTCCAGAGATGGAGATTGCTGGCTTCGGTTGAGATCGGGACCATGGGTTGTCCGTCGCCCTTCTTTGCTTTTTTGTTTCCCCACAATCAAACTTCAGTCTTTCGTGGAGGCGGGGGAGAATAAGAAGCTAGGGTGCAACTCCACAATATACTTTTCGTAGGTAAAAAAAAGTGAGGAGAAAAGAAAACATGTCCTGTTTTTGAATTCATATTCTGCTACGTTTCTCCTGATATACATGTTTTCCCAAAGACCCCCCCCCCCAATCCACCTCCACCCCATCTCTCCACCTAGGACAATAACAGACCGCAAAGTTAGTTAACTAGTGGTTGATTGGTGGGTTAATATAAAAAATAAGGTTCATCTTCTCTTCAACGCCTGTGTGTCTGCCTGTGGTTGATGATGCACGACGATCATCCATCCAGCTATCCCCACGTACGTTAATGTTCCACTTTTCTACCGCATTTCCCGAAGAGAAGAATCCACAGAAAGTGTGTATGTGTGTGTGTGCAAGAGAGGAGATTGACAGCTCCCTAGATAGATTCCAGGAAGACAGGATAGGATAGAAGGAAGGACTGCTAATGAATAAATAAAGGCAAAGCTAGCCCGTCTGTAAAGGGGACGTAAATGAAATAATAAAAAAAAATAACAAAAAAAAAAACGGAAAAGACAGAGAAAAAACATAGAAACGCAAAATTCGAAACTGCCTGGCCCATGAACAAGAATAACAACAATAAACTCGAAACAGTATAAAATCGCGTAAAAAATCACAAAAAGCCACCCATTTTGTTTTGCCGTTCCCATACCATCCACGAAACCCCCAAACCCAATTCTCTCTCTCTTTTTTTCGTTCTTTCTTTTTCTGCTTTTTTAAAAAGGAAATCCCCCCCCCTCGCTTCTGATCGGTGTTTTACAAACCAGTCTTAAAAATAAATAAAAATTGATGAAAAGCCTGGAAATAATAAAAAGTTAATGACCGTCACGGATAAAAAATCTGAAGTGAACCTCTCCCCCCTTCTGTATTCACGCTAAGACCTATTGACAGTCCTTGACATCCTCGCACCTTCAACCGCTAGCTTGTCGGCCTGAGAATTCCCATCATTATGTCCAGTATGACCCTGTACCCATTCGAATCTCGTTTGGCTACCATACTCTACTCTCTCCTTGACCTTTTCCAGGATTTTTTCGATCAAATCTTGATTTTCCACAGGCCTTCCCACACTCGTAATCCAATTGTTTTTTATCCAGTTGATGTGCCAAACCGTGACACAATTGATGGCGTATTTGGAATCAGTATAAATCAACACCTCACGGTGCAGTGGTGCAACATTGATAGCACGGAGAATTGCGGTAAGCTCAGCTCTCTGATTTGTCTGACGAGGACCTATGAGGGGTTCAGAAATGTTTCTGGAACTTGAACGTTAGTAAGTATGCGCATTGGAGCGATCAATGAAATAGATATCCCACCTCGCATCCCTGTCGCCGAACCACACGCCAACACCAGCCATAGCTGTATCTCTACCATTTCCGAGAGCACTCCCGTCGGTATAAATCCTGAGGATGGAGTTCTTTTTCGCAGTAACCCTCGGCTTCGGTTTTTTGCGCTCCGCCTCCTCGGATGTAGAGCCGTCGTTTTCCTCCCTCGGATCTGCCAAAGACACACTGGGAAACTGTTGTTGGTGCTGCATATGCTCCACGGGGGAGACGCTTTCCTGCTGCGCCAAATTGTTTCCCACGCTTTTCCTCTTCTTTGGAGCAGGCGTGCTCTGTTCCGGGTCCGATGAAGACCCGTCCCTGCCAAAGCTCTTTACGCTCTCCCCCGCACCGTTCCTGGCAGCTTTTTCGCGCCCATTAACGCTCACCGGCGATCCCTCACTGCCACCAGACCCACTGCCGTTGACAAAGGCCTCAGCTTCCTCGCGGGTAGGGAAACATCGGACTTTTGGTTTCTGAACGCCGACGACTTGCTGCTCAGCTGAGGCCCAATCAGTGTATACGCCGGGAGTCTTGCCGCTGCGAACACCGTAGAATTTCGCTGTATATGAGGACGATGCAGGATCGAGCGAGGGATCAGTCCCTGAAAGGAACAGCTGCGCTTCTTCCTCGGAAGGGAATGACTTGACTATGCAATATTAGGTTGTGGATCATACGACGGAAAAGCTAGTGAACAACGCACAGGAATTGATTGAAGGGGGAGGGGGGGCTTTGAGAGGGAGGGGCGGTCCAAGGAAGCTACATACATTTTGCTCCCTTGAAACCAGTGATCTGCCCTAGACAATCCTTCCAACTGGTGTAAATACCAGGGTTAAACCCGGTCCGTACCGCGTAGTACTTCATCTCTCCGGCCCTCTTCCTCTTGGTACCCGCCGCCCCGTCGCAGACGGAGGCGCTCTGAACTGATGGTGAAGCCACTTCGAAAGTTCTAAGAGGGTTATTTTCTTTTCCGAGACGGAAAAGCTGCGATCCGCGGAGCAGAGAGCTGTAGTTCTCGTTCAGTATTGAACGGAGTGTATAAGACCGCAATGACACTTTGAAAGAGAGAATTGTGTATCTTAAAACTATGGACAATTACTCACCAGAGGCAAGATTTGTGGGAGGAGGATATGGAGGAGGAGGGGTAGTTGGTGCTATGTACGGAATGTGGAGGGGTGGTTGTGTATGATGCCGGCTAGTGGTTGAGGGAGGTGGAGGAGTTTTATTTTGGTGAGACGCGTTTTGGGGGACAACAGATTTTTTCGACTATTCTTGCAATGACGTAGAATGTACCTGGTCACGGTATCGATAGAAAAACAGCACTCGGAAGTGTGGGTTGAAATGTATTGCCCAGAAGCAGCAGCAGTAGGTTGCAGTAGCAACTCCGCCGAGATTGTGAGATGATAAATCAGTATACTTTTTTTTTTTTTTGAGATATAAAGATTAGAAGTGAGGTTTGGGAAAATATGAAGGAGAGAGAGAAAATAGTTGTGGGTAATATTGGAAGTAACGGTAGTAATAAAAAAAAATCAGTCTAGCAGTCTCCTGCTCGCTCTGGGTAGACGATTCCCCCCTCCTTTTTAGCTGTTTCCCAAGCTGCACTGTGCAACTCACACACCCACCCACCACCACAGGCAACACACACCACTCACATACCTAGAAGAGAGGTCCCGGGGGTGGGTGGAGCAGACCAGACCAGAGAGGGGGGGGGGGGGGTTGCGTTGCAGAAGGGGGGGGGTTGTTTGGACTGGGCACTAGCTAGGCTTTTCCGCTTCTTCTTCTTTGTTGACCACCCCCCCCCCCCCCCCTCACACCCCCCGGAGTCACTGCGGGGGGGGGGGGGAAGAAAGAGAGAGGGGGGGGTTACGATTTCTCGGCCAAAGGGGAAGAGGCTTGAATCGTCAAATGACCTCAAAAAAACTTGGCCAGATGGAAGAAGGAAGAAGGAGAGGAGGCTCTTTCCCTATCGATGCGCGGATATGAGAGGTAGCAGATAGTCTACATGTGCATACATATGCGTATACGCAAGAAGAGTAGACGCACGAGGTGATGCCTTCAATTCTTTTTTTTTTTAATCCTACGATGCCGATCGTTCTATCATCGTTCGTTGATGTCCGTTCGAGTCAATCAACCTGACCATCTTTTAAACTAAGAAAAGTAGAGAGTACTAGCGCGCAAGCCCAAAAGAGAATCGAAAGGTAGTAACGAAATAAGGAAACAGAGTAACTACATGTACATAAGTAAGTAGGGATGAATGGCGATATGACCACTCTACCAGTAATAACCAGTAATAACCAGTAACAGAGAGAGTGAGAGAGAAAAAGGAATAATGAGAGAAGAGGGGGGGGTGTTAAGTGTAAGAGTGAATATGGAGGAGGATGAGGAGGGGGTATGCTTTTTTACGATCCATATCACAAGTTCGCCGGAAGAGGATGGGGCCTGGCAACTGCGGAGAACACTGTAGAGAGTATGTTGGCGCGGGCGAGCAAGCAGCCAGAGAGCGATGGAAGTGGGATCAGCTTATGATATAGGACATACGCGTGCGCGGCCCAGTCAGGGATAGAAAAGTAAGAAAAAAATAAGTTGCTCTGGGACTTTCAATCCGTTTGGACCCGTGGAGATGGGGGAGTTATGGACTGAGAAAGAAGGAGAGTGAAAATGGGATTACAATTGACCCATCCATTTCCATTCCATAGAGGGGGGTGAGTGCACGAGTAGAGAAATCGACATGGGTTCCAACTATTTACTTTTTCTTACGGGTTCTGGCCCGAAAGGTGGACTATGTAGTAGCTCGTCCCTTGCTGGTTCTCAGTGCGTATCCCTTCCAAATCATAAATCATGGCGGGGAAGAGTAGGAAAGGGAGGAAAGAGAGAGAGGAAGGGGGGGGGGGGGGGGGGGTTGGTTGTGAGGGGAGGGGAGGGGGGTCGGACGCTGAGAGGAGGAGGGGATGGAAGACATCATGAAGAGAGAAGTGCGTGAGAAATGGTGCAACAAACCGGTCCTAATCACATTGAGGAGGCGAGTAGTGGAGTACCTACTCCACGAGTCTACTCCCATCTACATCCTGCAGTGTGCCCGATCCGCCATATCGTCTCTCCCGTTCATGTACAGTCAGGTATTTTGATACGGTACCAACAGTCGCGGCAGGCAGGCAGGCAGTCGTTATTCGCACAACCCCCGCCTTCGCGAATTCCTCCCTGGTCAACTTCCCAACTCACACGCCCCCCCCCCCCCCTCATCATCATCATCGTCTTCCTCCTCCCCTCCTTCACTTCCAACCCTCCCTCCCCCTCCCCCTTAGTTAAATAACAACCTACCAGCAGTAGCAGTAGCAGTAGCAGTAGCAGTAGCAGCAGCAGCAGCAGCGACCAATGCACCCCACCAAACAAATATTGTTGGAAAACGGCCCCCATCTATCATCACCATCATCGATGAGGACTGGCCATTGAAGAACATATCGACCCGGGGCTATTGTCTCTTTCGGCGTTAACCACCTCTTTCAAACAATTCCTACCACCCTGCGAGCTTCGAACCTTTCGATCAAGTATTCAGATCGCCTACATATACTAGCCTTCCACCCCCCCCCCCCCCCGAAAAAAAAAAAAACCTCTTCCCAAAATTCAAGTCACGATGCCCAACCTTCCCTCTGCCCCCCTACCTCCAGTAGTTGAGCGATGGGGGATGGGCTGCGAGCTCGCCGGTTCCCAATCTACACAAGCTCTCCCAACATTCCCTGCAACTATTGCTCTATTAACCTAGCCCATATCACCAGCTCCTATCCCGATGGCCCTGACCGTACGTTCGCCTGAAAAAAAGTAAACAGCATACTGGGCTCGACATCATTGCAAATCTAAAGCCACTAAAATAACCGAGTCTTAGCATATGCAATAGTACCGATTAGATATACCTATAGAACCCACCTCCACCCCTCCCAAAAAAAAATCCCGTAGAAACTGCGGAGGGTAAGGGTACTTGTTAGTAAAGGTAGTGGAGGAAGACAGGAGGGTAAGGGTTACTATTACTACCAGTACCCTAATAATCGTGCCTTCGTTCCGTAGATATTCCATGGCACGTTTCCGATACAAATTCCCCCTCAATCAAAGCTCTTTCTCTTTCTTGTTCGGAATCTCAGGGCAACCGAAATGAAGGTCCGGAAGGAACAGCGAGAAGGAACAGCAAGAAAGCCCCGATTCAACTAAAGAAAAGGCCAGATCGGAGTACGGAGAGCTACTAACTAACCCTAACAACATTATTTACCCCTCCGGATGCGGTAAAAACGGTTTTTTACTAGAAAACCTAAATCACGTGAAAACCAGAACCGAAGCTTATTCATAGCACAAGACATCACTCACACTGACTGGCCAAGGAGCTTTTCCGAAATAAGCGAATGATATTGTATCCAAGCCCTCCCTTCTTGAAATAATCGAAATAGCTATGCTTCACTTATGATAATGAACGAGGAGGAGGAACAAGAAGAAGAAAAAAAATCCTCGGCATTAGTTATATAATATCGTCATTGAGAATAATAAGAAAAAGGGGACACCTATATAAACGCCACTGTTCGCCAGTGCAAAATACAAATCGCAAAAAGAAATCCACCACCCATTAACAAAAAAAAAAAAAAGTAAAGGTGCAGAAAAGGAATGCTTCGCCGTTCCTTTGGAGGCCGTGATACACTCGAGGAAATAGAAAGAAAAAACAAAGGGGCAAAAAAAAAAAGAGAAAAAAACTCTTGGTATGTGCAGAAAAGTATACAAGAATGAGAAGAAAAAAAGGAAAGGAAAAGAGAGAGAAAGAAAGGAAGAAAAAAAAGATTGTAAGAACTCCGGGTCATCGATCCCTCTATGCCTGTATTTTACCCTCGCAGCTAACCCTGCCCATTTCTGTTGACTATAATTCCAATGTCCATCTTTCCAAAACAGGAAATCTTAAAAATTATAGTGCCTCCATGTAATGGCCTTCGATAAACAAAATGAATGTGCGTAGAGCTGAACGCTTTACCGGTGAACCGCTTCCAAAAACAAAAGAAAGAAAAAATCACCCCTAAAACTTTCTCAGCCACCAATTAAACTTCCACCGCGCCTACCCTGGTCGTAGGCGAGTCATCCTTAGTCTCCATCGTCTAATCCTCGGTTGCAGAATGAGTTGCATAAATAACATTTTATGCCCCCCGTTACACCCTCAAAATAGCATCGGCATGTTCGATCTCCTTTCCCTTTCCCGTAGAAGGCATATCTGACGAGTCGCACCCGCTGTCAGGGCTTTGTGCACGCATATCTGGATCAAGTGAATCTCCGGCTTCTTCTGGTATGGCTTGGGTGACAGTTCTCCGAAAACTACGGCCCCTGGCATCCTTCCAGGCCTTACTACTTGGTGCCGCGGTTGTACTAACACGGCCATTGTCTGAACTTGATCCCCAGCTATGTCTCTTCCAGTCCTCAAGATAGGCAGGCCTTATACGCTTTCCAGAGCCGCTAGTGCTGCTGTTTTTCTCGTTAGAAACTTCTGGTTTTGAAGTCGGATAAAGATAATATCCGTATCCCGCTGGATCCGCTCCGAGAATTGACATGCGTTCTATTTTTTGATCTTCGGTGTAACCACCAACACCATCGGGTTTTCTGCCGTCTGACCGTCTGCGGAATGTTTTTGCACGTGCCAAGGAACTGGAAGATCTTGGTCGCGGAGAAGAAGAGTTCGATTTCGGCATAGGAGGAAGCGGTGGGAGATATTCTTGCGTGAGGTCTGCAAGATCTGGGTGGGACTGGCTACGGCGCAGGAAGTTTCCCAGTGAGCTCCTTCTCCTTGGCTGGTGGTTCTCGTGACTCTGACTTGTCATTGACCTTGGTGGTGCAGAAGGTAGGGTGTATGGTGAGTGGGCATCCATGACACTCGACAGTGGTGAGGGATGTTTTTGGTAGCTGTCTGTTGGCCTTTTGACGGGCTTTGGAAGCTTTGTAATGTTCGGCGATACCTGCTTTGGCGGAGAAATGGGTTCCACTGGGGTATCTGCTATGGTTGTTGCCGAACCACCACCCATAGTAACTATTGAGGCAGATGATAATGACTTTATCAAGATTGACGGGGACGAGTTTGAGGGTGAGGTTGCTGCTGTAGATGCATCTGACGTAAATTCGAGTGAAGAAGCAGACGAATTCGACGGAGATGGTGCATGACGGGCAAAAGGTGGCTGTACCTCTGCGGGTAGCGATGCAGTCGATGAGGTTCGAATGGTTGGGAGAGCTGGCTCCGAATTTGCACTTGAACTTGAACCTTCACTGTCTGAACGCTCCCTGGTAGGTCCGGTGGGTAGTGATGCTGTAGAAAATCCAAGATCCTTCGAAGCAGGTCCACTGATGATAGGATTGGCGATTTCGGCTTCAGCAAGCACAGGTGTCTTCTTTGAAAATTTCCAAAATGAAAACATAGCTCTTAGGCTACTCCGTTTCTTGACAGCTTGGGAAGCATCTTTGGTTCCGGCAGGGACTGACTTGGGAGATCGAAGTTTCGTCATTTTGTGTGATTTGTATTTGTTCTTCCTCTCTCTCTCTCTCTCTCTCTTTTTCTACTTTTTTTTTTCTCCCTCACTATCTGTTTTCCAAACCCTTCTCTCTTTTGACCCACTCTTCTTTTTTCTTCTTTCCCTGTCTCGATTAATATAATTGTTGTAATAGTAGTGGCAGTATTGGATATAATAGTGGTGATAGTGGTGTGCTAATAATATGAGGGTTGTCGTTACTGCTGTATGGGAGCGAGTGATACTTGTACAGCTGCCGGATACTGGCAATTGATGGATTAAGGTTTATAGAAACGAGGGTAAAGTAAGGCAACTAGGCCGGAAAGCAAGCGAGCGAGGATGTGGAGATAAATAGGAGAAAAGGGAATGAAAGAAAAGAGTGGACAGGAATGGTTAATATTAGAGAAGAGGAAGGACAGGGAAAACAAGGAAGTCACAAGCCTGGAACAACTAGTAATGTAGTAAGTCAGGCATAATCGAATGGAGTGATGACGATAGCCAAATATGCGCGAACATCTTAGTACTATTTCCAAGGGAAAGGGGTGGTGCATCGACTGGCCTGGGCAGGACAGACAATTACGCGCACCCTAGACAGCTCTAGAGTAACGATTTTCGCCCTGTAACTTGACCCAGGCAATCGGAAAAACCAGCCGAGAAGCAAAAATATCAGACAAGACAAGACAATTTTAAGACAAGTGCACCTTAACAACCACCCACGGAATGATAGTAGATGCACGGAAGGGTGCAACATGATATGCACGGAACAGTGCAACATGGGCTATTAATTGACTGACATTGATTGACCGCACATCTCGCTGCAGCAACCGCCGCACCGCCGCGATCTCATCCAATCAATGATCGCCAAACTAGAGTCGCAATAGACGTGTTCATGGGCAGAATATCACTTATGGCTTGGAAAGTGTAGGCATGTAGTACTGTGAGACTGATCTCTCCTATCCAGATAAATAAATCCTATGTAAAAACATCCTCTCGAGTTTCATAAAGACTCGGGAGTAAAATAGGAATCCATACGGCAACACACACCAACAAGGCCATTCACCAACTCACCTACTACGTACTAGTCTGCCTGCCTCAAACCTTCTGATGAGCTCAATGCAGTCGATACAGCGCACAAAACGGATGGGATACCAATGAGGGATTCGTGGCATGGTGTAGACGGGTTCGAAACAGCATCATCAGACATTATGTAGGTTATAGGAGGGAAAAGAAACCATTGCGAATACGTGAACTCGAGATGGAAATAGAAGTAGAGGAAAATGAGAAACACGCTGCTATCAGTCAGACCTAACGACACGGTACAGACTCCAGAGCCACTGTGGACCGCAGCACTCTCAGATCGCGATTCGTGAAACGAGCCGTGTGGGTGCAGAAACGGCTCGCCTTTCGCTGTATCTGTATAGCTGTATCTAGTGTGTATACATGTCCCTATCTGGTGTTCGGAAATTATAGACTAGTAGCTTGTACCCCGTAGACACCTACTGAAGATAATAACTGATACACATTTTGGATTTCGAGGCACAGGACACAGCAGGACGTTGCCTGCTGCCTGCTGCTTGTTGCCTGTTGCTGCTGCTCCAGCCAGCCAGCCACAAGGCCAATAGGTACATACATGTACCTAGGTGCTACTATAGCAGCTGAAATCATGCAGTACTCCCATGTGGGATATTTGAGATTGGGATTCAGATATCCTACATAAATATACTTAGTGTGATACTCTTCTAGGCCCAGGATGCCCCACGGTCAGGGAGTTGATGCTGATAAGGAAAATTTGATTCGCTCCGGCGCCAATTTATCCGCCCTTCCTCATCCTCCGAAGGCCCGTGATTCGGGACTCGTTTCGAAGAGGCCCCTGCAGTCGCAAATCTTGATTCGCGGAATGTGCCGTGCGGTGCGGTGCGATGAGGGAGGGTTCTTCTGCTTTCGCTTGTCATGTCAACGTCAACATGGGGGCTCCTAAAATCAAGTAGGTAGTCTAGTTAATCCGTTGCGCACTCACAATTGACGATGCCATTTTTATTTACTTTTTCAACATCATGATCAAAGCACCATGCATGTAGGTATAGAATATCAGAGTATGTACTCTGGATAAGAAAAGTATCCAATGTCCGAAGCATATCACAGTTGAATAGTAATGATTTACAGTATAACGCCTTCATTTATATATTTGTAAGTACTTTATACGTACCCCCTACTGATCTTGGCCTTATACCATACCGAGGAGCACTCCTGCTCAGTAATATAAACCACACGAATGTAGGTATAAACGGGGCCAGAGTATATAATTACATCCGCTATTGTCAGTATACTACTAGGTTTGTTCATCGCGCATAAATACAGGTATTTCTGCTCGTTAAGATTTTGAAAGGAAGCTGCTCCATGTAGTATCGCCGTCACTGCCACCTATCCGGTAAGATAAGGAGCGACTCACATCATCTTGCATGTCTAGATACAGGCTACACTTATGCTTTCGAAAAAAAAAAAACAAGAAAGACATCCTGCTGTTTTTATATTTATCTTTTCGCCAATCATTCCTAATAGAACCAGGTACAACCGGCGTAGTGAGGTTCTCCGAAGCCTAACCCTAATATTCTCCGATATGATTGTCTGCCGCGTTATCTTTTTTACACTCAAAGTTTTTTTTTTTCTCCCCACGCTCAAATCCCACATCAGTTACTCTTGTGAGTGTCACGTATTACTTGGCAAATAGGGTAACTTTCGTCACCGTATCACCTTGATTCGACCCCCGAGATTCCGCCTTCAGTTTACCCATTCACATCCCTTCCTTCTTTCCCTTTTCTCCTAGTGTCGCACCCAAGATGCGCAGACTACTTAAGCTTCTTCTGCACCACGAATACTACGCTTTTAAAACATATCCAGTGCTTTAGGGGCGTGGCCTTATCTGCAGTCATCAATTCGTGTCGCGCCGGCGAGTATTCGTGCTCTTGTTGCCCTTCTTCGGATCGATTGTGTATTTTTTTTCCTTTTCATTGATAGCATGATGTTGATTGACAGCGCCAACAAAGCCCCCCAAGCCTCGAACGTGTCTATCCTCAATCACGAAAAAAAACATGCATATCAGACAAAAGCGCTTCGCTTGTGCTGTTTAACCACAACTTCGGACAATCTTCCGCCTCATGTTCACTCAATCTACCGATAGGGTTGGGGAGTGGATCCACTTCAGTCTCGAGGTGAGACATGCGCATCCTAAGCAAGGCATCCACGAGTCTTTTTACTATTCATTGTGGTAATTCGCTGTTTTTTGATTCGCGATATCCGCCGACGGGGGGGAATAAGTCGTCATATCTATGGAATTGAGGATTTGAACGGATTTATAAAACAGCCCTATCCAATAGTTTGCCAAAGCTCAGACCCTCCGGAGTTTTTGCTTTCACGGGAATTGAGGGTAGAAGTGCTTCGAGGAGTTCGTCCGTGATCATCGAGAGAAGCAGAGCGAATCGATCAGATTTCAGCTGAAGGATAAAGAAATGACAATTTCAAGCGGCTGGACAGAAATCGAATTCGTTTACCTGTCAAAAAACGACTGTATTGGTGGGCGTCAAAGGGAGTGGACCCATAGAAGTAAGTTTGTCATATTCTGTATATAAGAATACGGATTCTACTTGACAGAAGCAAACACGATGCCTTGCACAATCCACCATGTCCTTTACGTCAGTCAGAAAAACTCATTCGAAGGTCGTAGATTTCGACATAGAGGTACTAAACGATGCGGCCTTTGAAACAACACCGCATGTTAGCATCACAGGATATCACTCGTTTGACCAAAGCTTGATACCAGGGGCTGTCTTGGTATTTGATCGGCAGGTATCTACAAACACCAAGTGGACTTATTTTGATTTAGTCCCGATTCTGCTTTCAATGTGCATGAATGATCTCAAAATTTACCATTTGGTAACGACTTTGATTCGCCTCTCGCCAGCCACAACTGACAGATTGGCTCGGATCAATATCCCTGTAATAATTCGATCCTTTACGTCGAGGCTACTAGTACTCTCTAGAACGGAGTTGTCGGCACCAAGATAATGATACCCGAGTTCTGGCTTTCACCGAGCCTCCACAATTCTCTACCGGATCGCCACTTGCCATTATCATGGGTACTAACAGGTTCGATAACTGGCGACATACGCGTACCCCCCGAGGGAAATGTGCCCTAGGGCTAAAAAGTAGTTTTTTTTATAGGGCCCTCAGTTTACTGCACGTGTAAAACCTCCCAATATGGTATACTATGCAGCCCTGGTTGTGAGCATAGATAGGGTAGATTCAAGCCGCCGAATCATCGGTTTTGAATTATCCAGGTGCGGTCAGCTCAGCCCGCCCAGCCATCATTATGATAGCGTCAAAGCAAGCTGAAAATCCTACATGGTAAAGGCAATAAGTAAACAGAAATACCTAGGATGCGATTATAACCTATGACATGAGGAAGAAAAGCACACAAAGTTTCCTCTTCTTTCCGATTTTTTTTCTCGCTACGTTTTCCTATCGAGTGAGCTCCTTGCCTACCAGCCTAGCATTCAATCTACATACATACATGTATTTCTTGGCTGCAGGTCTGACAGCCAGTTTTTGCATAGTGGGGGGCCCAAGACTCGGTGCATAGGGAGCTCGTTCAGCAGACCTATGGAGTAGATACAGTATTTGGCATTAAGTTTCTAATGGGTATCTTCGTCTATCATTTAGCGAGAAGAGCACTTCTGAGATCATCTTCCAATAGGCCGATCCAATTAATGCCCTTTCCCCGCAGTGCGCAGAGCAAATTGGCCCCCACAAACACTACATGAATGTACTCTACTCTGATCAATCCCGTGGGGGCACCATGCTTCGATAGTGTGTAACCGCGGGAATCGAGGATTATGTTGCTTAATTCAGAGCCTCATCAGCAGGGCGATAGCTGACAGCTACTGGCTGCATAGCAGAATCCAGTCGCCGAATTTTATGGGTTTATGGCGCCCCGCATGGGGATAATCCGATTCGTTCGCGCTTATCTCGCTTCCGGATTTCGGGGTCTATATATGCGGCAGTCATGTAAGAGACTAACCAATCTTACTTGCACCATCTTCGAGTGCTCGTACGTGATTACACAATTAATTCATAAGAACATAGGGTTTGTCTATGATCCAAGCCATTGTCTAAAGAGGTGCAAGGATGAGTTATACTTACAAGCCTTATCTGATAACAATTAACTAGCTGTCAGTTATGGCTTTCAAATAATGTCCTCTACTTGGAGTCTTGTGGAAAATGTCAACGTGTTGAGCTGTCGTGATTGGCGAATAGCGTTCACATCTAAGATCAACCTCAGAGATATGGAGCCTCATGCAAACAGCGAGCTGACCATAAGGGGTGCGCACAAGACTAGGTCTCATGCTCATATATTGAGTGAAGGTAGTTCCTTGATGCTGTAGAATGCGTCTGGGGTTTAAATATATCCCCGCACGCTTTATGGCCTCTTTATGCTATAAATTCGGTTGGACTTCACGGGAGGCGACAGAATGAAGGCCGACCTAGTTTACCTGTATGGAGTGTACTCGATATCCGATTGAGTAATATTGGGATAGATACATTGTACGGGTATGCAAATATCCTCTGATTCAGGGTTATTGGGGTATCCGGCAGGGCACATAGCGGTGCGTCCTTTGGGCTGAACTGAGGGGAGTCCAACCGGGTCAAGAGTTCTATTGAAAGGCTTGATTTAGACAAAAACCGATCTTCTGACTGAGTTAGCAGCCATGATATAGGTGAGGGTTGGGGCTATTGGTCAGGAAGACAATCGCCGAGCAAAAAACACAGAAATGTGTTTACAAAAAACAGCCATATCTATCCTGCCTCTGTAATTAATCGTATAACGTAACGGTGGGGGTCTAGAATGAACCACATGTACTTAAAGACATATCGAAGCTTTCTTAGCGCATTAAAGTTAGCCATCACCTTGCAGCTAAACATAGCAACGGCCTCCAAACATTCCACTGATGTCAGCTTAGTGAACCGGATATCAGTATCAAGTGCTGGTGCAGTCTGTGGTGGCAGGTTATGCTCAACACAAGCCTCGTAGGATGCCTACATTCCCTGATAAGAACGCCAGTTAAGTAATAGGTCGGGGATATCTTCACATAAAGCTTGTAGGAATTGATCATTTCCGGTTTCCTCTACATGCGACCACAGTGTCCCTTACACCCTCGAGTCATGATCATCATAACTAGCTGGAAATCAGGTTCTCGGCGTTCCTGCAGTTGGGGAACTTATGCGGGGGCATCACGTGTTTGTTTCACACGCTGGGGAGAAAGGAAAGAAGGGGTTTGGGCTGCATCTCAACATGCAAGGTACCAATCGCTGTAAGGGGAAAAAGGGCTGTCTGGAGATTAGGTTTCATCCGAGATGAAGAAGCTCTTCAGCATAAAACAAGTACAGTGGTAAGTAAAATGGCATTTTTTGTATATCACGACGGAATATTAGACATTTATGCCCAATTTCCCGCCCCACTGCGGTATTTTAGAACGATCCAAGACTGGAAATGAGCCTATGTTAATCAAAGTTGTTGACACATAAAGGAGGCATGGAAGGGGTTCTGTGAATTCGGAGGCGGACTGTTCTCCTCATAAGTCATAACTTATAATTGGTCGGCCCCCTGGAGTTTTCTCATTTTTTAAAACTGTTCCCTCTTTTATTAATGTGGTCTATATGAGCTTCATCCTAAGAAATTGGTTTCGAAAGAGGTGTGAAAATAGGAAAGACAGGAAGACATCTCCTAGAGCATCATATATTCGTTTAGATCAACCCCCAAGGATACCAACATTTGATACGACTTCAACGCAGAAACTTGTAAGTAGTCACTTCATTTAGAATTTGGTTTCAATCATCCATAAATACCTAAATCTAACCTTGACAAACAGATTCCAGAGGGTATCTACCGGTAATATATTTCATCTATAAAGCCAGATTAAATTTTCAACAACAACTATGCATCGTATCATTGCCCACGCGATCCATGCCTTGCTCATGAAGCGCCATGGAGTAGTCACGCATGACGATGATTTTGAAGAAGATCATCTAAACGATCTTTCCGAACATTTCCATACCATGATGCCACTCGACCCTGCCGGCCCCCCATATAGACCTTCATGTGGTGGGTCGAAAGAGGTTGGCGTCGATTATGATATCAAGTTACATCTTGCTTCTCTCCTCGTATTACTAGTAACAAGCTCTGCTGCCGCTTATGCGCCAATTTACATACGATATCTGATTAAAAAAAATGCACGTACTGCCGACGCCCGAACCAGCGATCAACTCCACGCGGAGGATGGTATCTCGATCATGACAGGAACGAAGGAGAGAGTGACTGAGATTGCATCGAATACATTTCAATGGGCATTATGGGCTACTAAACATTTTGGAACTGGTGTCATTATCGGGACCGCATTTATACATGTAAGTTCTTACTATTCTTGTCTTAATCAGCTGATCGAGTGATATACCATGACGACATAAAGTATACTTCGCAGCATTTTTGTTTCTAAATTTGATTTAATGAAATATAGATACTACCTGCAGCGCATTCTTACCTTACCGCACCTTGCCTCCCCCCTTTCTTCACGACCGATTACCCCTCTCTGCCGGACGCTATCGCAATGGCAGCCATGTTCGCGATATTCCTTATCGACTTTTCGTCCAAAAGTTGGGTCGAATCCCTTCATGACCAAGCTACAGCAGATGCCGAGAAGAATGCGGGATTATCTGAAGAATACGAAGCACGCATATCCGACCCGGCAAACATTGACCGATCGTTGTACCAATCCGAAGAGAACGGATCCGTTCTGGTTTCTTCATATCGGCATGCGTCCAAGGAAGTCACCCCAAATGATATGAGCGCGGTTCATCAGGACGACCTTCTGACGATAAATCAAACACCACCACTCACAGAATCTGAGATTGCAGAGATTGCTGATATGGATGCACATCAGGTTGAACTGCGCTACCATAGGCAACAAGAGTTGTTATCAACTCTGATTGTAGAGGCCGGAACATGTTTTCACAGTATTTTCCTTGGACTTTCTTTGGCTTTATCAACCGGGGATGGGTTCACGGCGCTTTTTATTGCGATCGTATTCCATCAAGTATTTGAAGGACTGGCTATCGGATCTAGGCTAGCGAGCATCGACCTCGATAACCATAATTCAAAAGATTGGAGCTTGTGGGTTTGCTCAACAATTTACGGAATTACTACCCCGATGGGCGTCGCTATTGGCATTGCGGTCAGACAGGACTATGATCTCGCGAGTGAGAGATCGCTCATCTTGACGGGAGTATTTGATAGTATGTCTGCTGGGTTCCTGCTATATGGTGGGCTTGTGGGATTGCTGAGCCGTGACTTTTTACAGTAAGTATTCCAGCTAAGGGGCTTAGGCAGTGCTGCAACATACTGACAAACAAATAGTGGTGAGCTGTCAAGGTCACCAGCTAGAGTGCGTATGGCGGCCATTTTCTTGGTCAGCTCTGGAATGTTTGTTATGGGGTATGTACTCTTCGGGTGTTTTCTTCTATTTAATACTGACTTTTTTTCTTCTTCAGGGTTCTTGGACGTTATGCTTAGAGGTACCCTGGTGACGAAATTACAATTAGCGAGCCGGGTTTATGGTTTATGGTTGGAGGGATTTGTCACTTGGATTGATTAGCTCTAGATATTGTTCTGCGGACTGTAATGTTTCGTCAAGATTACGAGTAGTTATGATTGTTTTGAATTATGAATAAATGTGAATCCCAGCGTCTTGATAAAGTCTGACATAATCCACTCACCCTTAAAACACCGAGTGATAGCCTGTGATCTTCAAATGGTCCAACGATGTGCTTAGTATTGGGGTTTGTTGACTCTCGAGTCCCATTAAATTTTTTACTTACATACATGTACAATGCAGAGAATGTAGTACAAAAACGTGCCGAACCATTCAAACGGTCTAAAGTGGGACACGCATTCAGGCCAACCATCCCTCTCCTGCCGGTAATCACAGAGCGGCCCAGGCCAAACCAACCAACGACCGCCCCACCCACTCAGCCAATCACTTACACTCAGGTACTGCCAGCAATCCATCATTGATTTTATTAAACACATCAAGAACCATCAGTAACAAAGCAAACGTACATACAGGTTGAACCTCATCAAATCCTCTGGCGGGAGATTCAAGCGGTGTCACGCACGTTGCCTAGAGCAAGCTCACCTAGAAATAATAACGGTTTAATGGATACCCCCATCAAAAGTATCTATTTCCCAAAAGTTCAAACGACGCAACAAGAGCTATTTTGATTGAGCTAATATATCTTAGATAAATCATCTGCGCCTGTTGTGATCGACAGACAGGATCGATGGCCACCCCCAACAAACCGACCTTTATACCCTGTGCGACCAGATTTTTTGGAGGAGCCGTCCAATATTAATACCGGAGGGAATAAGGCATCCAATGTACCGCAAGAATTTAAGGCATCCCCTCCGCTGCCGCAAAGGCCTGGCATCGGCCGCGGTATCGGGCGACTTGCGGGAAGTCACCCAGTACTTTTTCAACCAGGACCACAAAATTATCCTAAGAAAAAATTAGCGACAAGCATGCAACATCAGAATACGAACCTCAAGTCTTTTCTTCTCAACACAGTTTCCGACTTTGAGTCTTCGACGCTAAACTCTGCCAGAGCCACCACAGCTGCCACATGTAGCGGTATTTTTGAGCAGTGGCGATCAGGGGAGTGCAGAAGTGTCGAAAAAAAGATGAAAAATACAAATTTTCAAAACGGCTCGGATTCAGATTCAGACGGGGGCGTTACTCTGGCTGTACAGGCTGCTTTTTTGCAACAACCAGGCACCGTAGGCCTTTCTCTCCGACCCGTGGCCCCAAAGCCCAACATAGAACCCCAGAAGCAGGAGAAATCACTACATAGAGAACATGAATTGAGACAGCAGGGGTTGGAGCCCGAAAAGGCCGTTAGGAGACCGTCCTTGAGACCACAGCCCTCGTTATCTTCTCACATAGCAGCAATACTACAAACTCCAGGAAGTGTGAACTTTATGTCTACACGTCGTAGAAGCTCAGTTACAACCGCCACTGCTCCCAGTCCAAGGTTCTCTAGCTCGGCTAGCTCGTCCACGACGTTTACTCCCGTTGAGCTCGAAAAAAACGAAGATAAGACCCTTGATGAGCCTTCTGGGAAGCATTCAAGCCCTATTGAAGCTCTATATAATCTGCCCAATTCTGTTTTCACTTCAAGGGAATTGGTCGAAGATAGGTTTCCCGGCAGGTTCACCGACCCCGATAACGATTTATACTGGAATACACCGAGTACACAGCCGGTACAGCTCAGCAAACCTCCACAAAAACCCCTACAAAACCCTTCACAAAATTCCATACAATACAAGCACCCCGTGCCTGTAGCTATTACAAAGCAAAGAGATCATAGATCATCAATAACAACGCCGCGGAGATTCCGCGGGCTGAAAGACGGCGACATTGTCGGAGAGGAGGCACCGGAAATTCCTAAGGAGAATAAGGGTCGACGCATGATGGAGAAGATGGGATATAGGGAGGGCACTCCACTCGGTATCAGCGGTGATGGAAATCTGGAGCCTGTCAAGGTTGAAGTTAGGGTTGGGAATCGTGGGTTGGGCTTGTCGAAGGAGGACTTGGCAAACAGGGCACGGGAAGAGCAAGCAGTTAGAATTGAAAGGGCGAGGGATATAGAACAAGAACTGCTGGCCAGGGTGGCCCAAACGGAGAGGGTGGCCCGGATGCACAGGGCGAGCTTAGATGCTGCAGTCCAGAATCATGCGTTTCACCAACAATATCAACATAACCCAGTAATCCTAGGCCCAATAGATCATACAGCATTCGCTCAACAAGGACAGCTTGAAGAGTTTACTATCCCAGGACCTGCGCAAATCGTGAAATACACCATGGCCACGCCTTGGGAAATTCATAAAATTCGGGAGCGGGTTACTCAGATTCTCGGCAATCTCGATGCATGTGGGAGTCTTAGCCCGGTGGAGAGTGCATCCGTCCTTTGGTCAAGTATCAACTGCGCGGTAGCGGATCTACATCAATCACGATTTGGATTCCTGGTAGATGCCGAGTTGACTGAAATAGTTAGGAGGGGATATATGGGAATAATCGTTCAAAGAGAGCAGACCGGGGGTGGGTGGTGAAATAAAAGAAAGGACCGAGTGGGATTAGAATTAGTTTGATTTCATTTTTAACTTTGATTTTTAATTCTCATGATTGATTCTCATTGTTAGTTCCCATTTCCCATTTTTAGTTTGAAACCTGATTGATGAGATGATTGTCTATAAATTAGCATGAAAATCAGAAATGTCTCTATCAGACATTTTGTCATCACGATATGTATGGCAAATTGGAGACGGAACCTTCTTGTGACAATAGAGAAAAAGATACCGATTAGGGTGTATTTATAACAAACCACAAGTAATATATAGCCCTACTAATGAAATTCCAGAAATGAAATGTGCTCCCTCAAGCTAGACGCTCCCTCAAGCTAGACGCTCCCTCAAGCTAGACGCTCAATGGATTAAAAAAAAAAAATGTGAAAAGACTCTCCGACATGAACTGGGAAAGAAATTGAAAATTGGCTGCATGCCAGAGAAACCCTCATAAGCAGTGCTCCCATCATCTGCTATTACCTCCGAATCCTAAAGCCGCTGTCGCTCTTCCCCGATTTCTTACCGTCTTCATCAATTGGGATTGGGCAACTTAGGACAGGGTTTATACGTACCCAAGATGTTATAAGTTAGTACGAGAAGCCTTAAATGTTTTGAATCTTCACATCCCTTTGAGCTTCACTTCGACCGCTCCCTCTCTCTTCCTCTAGTTGTGCTAACAGGGTGTTCAGTTCTCCCTTGGCAATCTTTTCGCATGTCTCATGGTCCACATCGAGAAGAGGATCTCGCATCATCATATCTCTAACTTTCAGATACGATCTTACGAGCGTATCATTGAAAGCAGTTACTGAAACCTTGTGTGGGATGCTCTCCTCTAGAACACAAAGAGAATAGAAGATGTCCGACAAGGCAACTTGCTCTAGTCGCTCGATGATGACAAAATCAAAGAGACGCATGGGTACTGTTGGCCTGCCAGGAGAATGATGGTATGGTGGGAGCTCCCAGCGTTCCTCTCTGCCATCGAAGCTTTCGCTCGACACGGGCTCCAGGTTCTCTCTGGTCTCTTCCTGACATCTATTCTTATTCACTGCTCCTACCTGTCCCCCAGGACTAGCATCGGGAATTTGAGGGTGAGCCTGGGGAGGTGCTTGGGATTCGATTCCAGCCAGACCATGACATGAACGATCAACTGCGCCATCGAATGTCCCTCCCATCTCCAAGTTTTCAGAACCAGTTTTAGCTTTGCCACCGACTACATCATTGGCTTCATTGTTGTTTCCATAACTGACATTCTCCTCTTCCTCTTCTTGCTCATCGACTTCTCCATCGACCTCCTCGCCAAGCTCCTCATCATCAATCTCGTCGTCAATCTCCCCTTCGATATCCTCATCGGGGTCACCGAGTTCGCCACTTTCGAGGGGTTCCTCTACCTGGCTCTCACTCTCACTCTCGTCTCCATTCTCATCATCGCTCCCAACATCAACCTCGATATCATCCTCATCCTGGACGTCGTCGTCGATGGTAATTACCTGGGGGCCGTCTGTCATATTCACATCTTCCTGGCCCCGATCTTCATGTACTTGCATGCTCCGTATCTCTTGCGGAGTCTGTAGTTTTTGAGCGTTCTGATCCCTCGAACTTCTTGGATCCCTCATACCCCTCGGGTCCACCTGCTCCCTGCGCTCTTGCATTTGCCCATTTTCTTGCAATTTCTCCTTGTCCAGGGGCAATTGCACACCGCCTTTGTTATCATTATTGCCACCAATAGCAATACAAGAAGGATCTCTATCTTCCCCTCCATTATCCCAGTACCTTGCTTCGTTTCCTGTCATTCTAGTATCACCACGACGTCTAGGATCTGAGAGGTGTCGAACACCACCTGAAGTGCCGACTGCTCGGCTGTTTCGTTTAAAAACGCCACTCGAGGATCCTGGTATTCTCCCAGCTCTCGATGCTGCTCTGTCTTGATTGTTTCCCTTTCTCATTAATTTTCCACGGCCACGCGCCCCGCCAGGAGGAACACCCCTAGCCGCAGATGTACCATTCCGGTACGCCTTTTTGCGGCCTTGGAAACGACCAGAAGGGGGCTTTCCTCTATTTGAAACCCCAGCTCTAGGTCCCATATCTTCCTGTTGTGCGATAGGCCTCTGGTTCATGCTTGCGTCCATGCCCATGAATCCATAACCAACACTACTTCTTCTTCCCCTTATCATATGATCTACCTGTCTTTCCACACCCTCATTGGGTCTTCCAGCCCTATACCCGGGTCTCTCAGGTATGAACCGGCTCTGGTTTCTAGGAGACATCTCACCCATCCGAGTGCCAAATATCTCACCCTGTTCATATCTAGACATATTTTCTGGACTCCAAGTTTGAGATGTCTTCGAAGTGTTGTAAGCGTTAGGTTGTTTTGGTGGACTATGCATATATCTCGCGTCGGAACCATGGTGAGGAGACGAGTTGAAGTTGTAACCTCGTTCTCGCGGATCTATTTCATTTATCGCCCGAGAAGATGAGCCTTCAGGGAATCTCGGACCGGTAGGAATGCCGCGGTAGTCATGGCTAAATGCCTCTTGTCTCCTATGCCCCGAGCCAGTGTCGGCCGCCGGCAGTGACTGTGTTAGAACCTGGCCATTACCATTTTTATCGCGACGGTGAATCTCGAAAGGAGTAGAGTTTGACCCTTTGGCGAGCCGTTTAGCACCGTGGCTAATCTTTACAGGGGCTTTGTGTGAGTTGATGGCGGTGCCATTCGCCCGCGGCCCTCTGGGTGAATCGAAAGCCTCATGCGCTCTTTTGGGCGAAGGTCTAAACGAATTTTGATGGGACGGTATCTTGCCATTAGGTGTCTGTTGTCTGCCAAATTGGTTGGTATACTCGTTCACTGGAATATCTGGAATGTGCTCGCGCGCATGAAGCTTTAAAGGGGAAGATTTCAAACCCCGCATCATATCCGAATGTCTATGGTTTTTCTTAATAGAGGAGGCGCTAGCGCTACCGCCGAGCTTTTCTCGCAAGGGTATAAACTTCTTTTTTTTGGCCTTGTTTCTTGAGTTACTTCTGGATGCTCCTGGACTCGCCGCTGCTACTGATTGGTTAGAGCCGCCCTTCGAAGATCTACGAGGGGTTGCTGTTTGATGAGCCTTTGGACCAGTAGGTGGTGATTTGATGCCCAGTGGCATCTGGTTGACACCCTTTGCAGCAGATTTGGGCGTTGCTTGCGACTTTGGGCCAGTAGGTGGGACTTGCGGAGTCATTGCCTTTGGTGCCCTTGGCGGACTCCTCGATACCTGTTGAAAAGCTGCATCAGATGGCACTGGAGCTCTGAAGGCGTTGTTCCCATTTTGTCCATTGGAACTACGTGATGGAGTAGTAGCATTAGATGGTCCCAGGGCTGTTGTTGTCGCGGGAGCACCGATATGCCGCAGCCTGCTAGGGTGAACCATTGCAACGTCTTTGGGAGCTCTCGGAAGATGTTCTTTCGGTGTATTCGAGCTCCGTGTGTCCGAAACTGTAATAAATGGACGCCAATGAGCTCGTCATCGTCGAGGTCTTCATCGAGAATTATAGCCTCACCCTTCAAGAAATTACGCAGGCCTGTGGCTTGTGTACTATTACCGTTTGCGAAGACAGAGGGGTGTTCGCGGCCTTGATTTAGCTTGGTGGTTTCAAAGTTGCTTAAAGATGCCCCTTCGGACATGGTGGTGCTGTTGTTGCGTCAATATGAGTAGAGCTGTGAGCTATCGCTGGCGGGTTGTTGCTGGAGGTTAGAGTCTAGGATGTGATTGTCGTTGCCGAGACCGCCGCATCGTCACTCAGCCCTAGCGGGGAATGCAGGCACCCTAACCCTGACAAGAGTAAACCATCCATCGATCAGGAGTTTTGTGATTGGACAGAAAGAGGGCACCTCTGTCCAATCACGTCGTTTGGTGGGAAGGGGAGGAAATTCCGTGCAGCGCAACATTATTAATTTGCATGGGAATACTTATATTCAAACCCACAAACCCACAATCAACTTGCTTGTATTGATGTGATATCCATCATCAACCCTACAATTAAATAATAATTGTTCTATATAACCCGGTGAAGTATACTACTCGGATGGTAATGCTATTGAATACATATATATATATAATACTGGAGGGGTGGAGTAGGTACGATATATACATACGATACCAATACGGAATTGCATAAAACTATCAAATTAAAGTACATTAGACCCGCTCCCTTGATAGAAAAACCGCTAAAATTTCGCTGAAACAGATTCCCTTCTTCCAGATACAGTAGAGACTCTACCCACGCCTCTTTCGGTAATACTCACCCTTTCCCGCTGTTGTCAAGACTCCCAAGTTGACCTGCAGTACTTGTGTTTTCTTCATAGGCTCTCACTCATTCTTGGCAGTCTAACTACATGTATAATATCTTACTAGGGACTAGCACTGCTAATATTAGGGTTCAATCTCTAACCTTACCAGTGCGAAGTTATTCTAGTGGGATAATGTGGAAAACATAACAGTGTGGTCGGTGGACTGTGATAGACTCCTATAGGTAGTATTTTGGCTATTCGTTGATGAGAAAGAGTTATACAGAATAGGGTGAATTTGAGCATGTGCACCGTACCTGTATGGCTTAATTAACGCCCAAATATTACTCCACCACTTAACCACCAAAGAAACCTCATGAATTCTGGATCAAAAATAGAGTTAGGAGATGATATCTCCCTGCAAATCTCATATGGTCATGTCTGGTTTGAAAGCTCTATATAGTCTAGTTCGGGGCCACTCATAAACTCTGACTCGAGCTAGGGTTAGGGAAGATATTATCGTCAGGAACAACTGTTCATGGTATATGGTAAATATGTACTAGTACACACTGCATTCTTGTATTGTTTTTTGTATCTCCGATAAATTCCGAAATTTAGTATAGGTACTCATCAATCATTGATGTTACCAGTGAGGCCGTCAATCTTTTTCAAGAGGGGTCTTATCAAACGGTTGTGGGATTCGGTGCATAGGTTGACCCACCACGTAGTTAAGAACATCCGCAGCAATCGTATCTAACCAAGCTTAAGTAGTAAATATGAAATTTCGACAACATAAATGGAATACACGTCATTGTAAAACCCAAATATATGTACTATAATAAACTACAACGTTTCTACCATAAACACCGTTACTACCACTGTCACATACACCATCCCAGTGCGTACCCACCTCTCCCCCACACCACCTGCTGGAGTACAGGTTACCGTTGGCAGTATTGTCAAAGATGCTTCACTACTTCTTGCTCTTGAATCCGGGTTATTTTCAGATGTTGTATCTAGAGTATGCGAATAGTATTCATCGATAACCCCAGTAAAGATTATTTGTACCTCCCGTAAAAGGTAGGCCCACGTACATATACATCATCAAAGCTGCCAACAAATGCACCACTGGCAGTGATGGAGGCTTCTGTTGCGTCAAAGCTCCCATTGACCTGGTTGCGCAGTGCTTCGTGTTGTGCGCGATCGCTGAACGATGCTTCCGAGTCAATAAAGGGATAAGAGTAAAACGACGCCAGGGGTGCGGATGAGTCGTTCGAGTTGCTGCGCAGTGGGATTGGATGAATAGAGAACTATCTTGGTACTAAACGTTGGCGGAATCAATATCCACACAATCCAAACATTTTTTTTGCGTACGGGTTTATAGGTTTCTGACAATGTTTTCGAATATATGCTGCCATTGAAATTATACTCGCTTCCACTCTTCCGGGCAGCGAGCTCCCACGTTGAAAAATGCACCCCAGTAGATAAGTGACTCCTAGCAAGCGCAAATGAATTCAAACTCTAGACGAAAAGAACCCATTAGTAATATGGTCATCACTGGCTTTATCAACATACATGTAAGCAGCGGTTATATTTACCACTTCGACTTCTGCGGGCAACCAGTTCATCGACGCATTGCGAATATCCACAACCTCACCCTGGCACAGCGCCAGGTTTCCAGCCATTCAGTAGGAACGCAAAGGAACTTTCATTATCAACCTCATCTGGCGTTGGGTACTCCATGATTCCCAGGACTGCGTCGTACTTTGAAGAAAACTCCCCATCTTGACCACTGCAGTTTCTGTACTCCTCATCGATTGTACATGTGAATTGAAACTCCTATATATGAGAAATAATTAGTAAACATCTTGGGTGAGAATCCTATGAAGAAAGTACAATGCTCCCGTTGTAATAGCTACCTGGCCAGCGATGTAACCAGTCCCGCAGATGGGGGCGGTCACTTTCAGGAATGATATAGCAGCCTGACTCTAGATTTAAAGACGATACAAGTGCGGCTTTTGTAACGCTGTCAGAGTGAGGATGAGTAGAAGGTAAGCGAACTCCATCTCGAGAAATAGGTCGAGGTAAGTGTTAACGAGTAAAAGGATTGGGCACAAGGCGTGAAGCGTTGTCTAGAAAGATGTTTTGAATCAATGAGGCCAAAGAGCCCAAATATAACAAGACCAAAGGCCGAAAATCAAAGCGTTATTTCACCAGCCCAGTCCTCTCTAGCTCTATTATCACCCACTTCGATCCCACCAGAATCACATATCCCCAACCACGAGTCGACCCTCAAACCCCGATCTTTAACAACGCCCTCAATAGTCTAAGCCCCCTCAAGCTTCCAAGCTTGAGTAACCAAACATTTGGACCAGTTCTAGGGTTCTTCCTCCAAAGAATTCAGCCCTAAGGTCCGATTTGCCGAATCAAGCAACTGAGTTGTCTACACTATTCCTCATTTCATCACTGTGCATAAGTCATTAGTAATATGATGGGGCGCTAGATCTGAACCGCCCAGCGGCTTCCTGGTAGGTGGTGATGATTGGCATTGCGTCTGCGTGCCAGGAATAGATTTGGTGGTTGCTTTCATTGGTCAGTTGGACCACCTGTGATCAACGTGCTCCCCTTGGCAGAGAGATGTTTGGCAGCCAGTTTTTGTGTAATATATAGAGTCCTAAGGCTCGATGTGTAAGTTGGGAGCTTGCTCGACAGTTAGGGAAAGGGAGTAAATATTCAGAGTGTATCTACATACATGTATTTATCAGTAGCTGCTATCTGTTATTAGTACTGTGTCCAGACAACGAGTATGTTTGGTTGCCTTGATAATACGTGTTGATTTACAACGTAAGTCTTTTTTTGCTATAAGGAGCTTGTTTCTTCTACTCTTGTTAATTACCAATCACACAATACGATTCTCTTCAGACTTCAGTCTCTTATCACATGTGCTCTGAATAACAGCAACTGCGGTTTAATGGGGCCCAGTCTTGGTCGAGTAGTTCGAATAAGCTCTAGCAGGCAACTTAAATTTGAGCTCGAACTAAACCCAAGACCCCGAGCCCCTAAACACAGAGATGAAGTACTGTTGTTCTGACGGATATAGATAAAAGAGGAGGCCTAAGGGGTGTGAGGTTCGAATCATAACAAATGATTCGAGGACTGGAAGTATTATAGTCACGTCGACGTCGATCCTTGCAATACTAGCGTATTTTTTTTTCCCCATCAAAACACGAGATACATGTATCTAACTGCATGTACACACGCCCTACCAACGCAGTACCTAGATATCGGGGGTATAAATACAGTGCTATAATGGCCATCACCACCGTTATCTGAGACATTATTGGATCTGATTTGATCAATTGGGTAACAGAAGCGTTAATTAGTACTGGTATTATATTAATATTTACGCTATCTACTAAATTTAGTCGCCATTGGCTATTCTATCTCACTCTGCATATTACTAGCACGAAGATCATCAAATCCTCAATCTACAATAAAATCAATGCACGATATCAGACCAATCACACCAGTTAAGAAAAAACCCTTCATTCATATCGTATTTCGCCTGTATGCCTACGGTACAAAACAAGAGCCCCAACGAGCTAAGAAAATTCCCAATTCATCCTGCAATAGCAAAGAACATACTCATTATCCCACCGTCGAAATCGTCACCTCCAGATCCAGTGTTATTTGCCAGCCATCGCAGAAAAGAATTCTATCTCAGACCAATTAGCACACATACACACACTATAAACCCATTCATCGAAGACAAAGAAAATACATACCCCCATCTCAGCATCTACCTCCCAACCCACCTCCTCCCATACACATCCCCAACCCCATAGTCAACCGTCTGCAAATGCCTCCTCATGCGCAGCGCCTCCGCCTGCTCATGAAGCAGCGCATCCATCTTGATCTCCTCCTCGGTGATCAAGATACCCTCCTGCTTCTTCGCCTCGACCGCCTTCACCTCCTCCTTCTTCGCCTCCTGCTGCTGCTGGGCAACAGGATAGTTGTAGGTGTTGTAGACGTTATACGTCAGCTGCGGCCCACCACCACCACTGCCGCCAGCGCCGGCGGGGAACTGCCCCGGCGGGTGGACAATGATCTTGTCGGTGGAGGTGACGGGCGGCGGCGCCTCGATGGTAGTCGCGGCGACGGCGCCGGCGTTGGGACGCAGCGTCATGGCGTGGGAGGGGTAGAAGTGCCATACTTGCTTTCCGTCGATGAGCTCTTGGTGCCAGATGCCTTGCGAGGTGGTTGACAGCGCCATGGTGGTGGATATTTGTGTTTTTTGTGTGCTGATGCTGATGATGGTTTTATGATCGATGGATGGATGATGGATGTGATGAGGAAAGAGAGGAGGGAAGAAGGAAGGGAAGTGGGAGGAACTACGGCTTTATAGACGGGTAGTGAGAGCGTTGCTCATTGAATGCGAGTGACTTGGGGTGATGGAATGGGGTTAGCCTGCTTTTTCAGGTCGAAGGGAAGAGATTATATTAGAGCCAGGGGGCAGAGTTGAAGTTTGGGGAAATTGCGGGGAGCTATTTTAGGTTGGGAAGTACAAACTGCTACTGGTACTTGGCTGGTTGGCTGGGTACACGGGTGTAGGTGAGGGGGGGGTGCTGTGCTGGGTACAGTGTGGTACTAGCTGTGTTTTGTGGCCGTATACTACATGTGCCTCAAAGTTACTTATATATTACTTCAAGGTTGGATATTGATGGGAATGAGAATTCTATATTCATAGATGTGTGTTGGAAGTGAGGGTTGGGGTCATATATGTATATCCCCCACCCCCGCTAGCTGTGCAGCAGTTAGCAACCACTAGTAGAAGTAATTTCGTGATAAACAGCCCCCTCGTCGCCAATTCCACCATTAAAACCACTTTTCAAAGCCCACGATATCTTCAAACACCCGGTACAAGCCCTCTAGCATCCGTAAGTCGTCATTTTTGGCTGGATTTTTGGTCGAGTGATAGTTTGTGATCGGGCGCGGGAGATGGGATTTGGGAGGTTGGGAGGTTGGTTGTGGAGGTGGCCTGGGTGGTGGTTGGTATTTGGTGACTGGTGGTGGTGGTTGTGGTGGTGGTTTGGTACTTTGTGGGCGCTGGGGGTGTGGACACTGGGTGGGTGTATGAGGATTGTAGACGGTTGCGGAGGAGGAGTTGTACCGGGGGTACTGAGGAGTGATGCAATTGCAATGAGTCTAGTAACGCTGAGAGCCACCTCTATGTCAGTGGATTGACTTGATACAGCACATAAATTCTGATTGAATTCATTGCTAGAATTGACTAAATTAACAACGCTAACCCGTATCAGCGGGTTGGGTCGGTTGTGTATAGGCGGGGTTTGGAATTGAACCTGTGTGTTAGACTGACTTGACACCGCCGCTTCTTTTTGAGAATGGAGATTATTTCGGCGGTACGTATAGCTACATGCTATAGGCTGGTTGATATTGGGTCTTGATCGTTTGGTTAAACTGATCACGGATGCTGCATGCCCGGGTTTCGTTGAAAAGAGCTAACTGGCGGTTGTAACTCCTGGCTTTTGGAACGACTGTTAGATTGCTGGGTATCTCGAGTGGTGTGCAGTGCTCTACGGGGACGCATATAGTAGGTTAGGTGACATACGAGAGATACGACCTTGGGTCGTGGGCAAGGGGGGGGGGGGGAGGCACTTTCATCGAGTTGGTCGTTCTCGATGGGTGGCATGTCGGCGTCTAGCTACGAGTTTATGGCAACACTTGAGTTGCGGTATGTTGGCTGATCTGGGACTCGAGGGATAGTGGTTGTTTTTGGGCACGTATTGCTTGGATGGCCACGATCGACGGTGTCGGTGCACTGGGAGTTGATGGGTTTGTCTATATACGAAGGTCACGTTTGGATGAACGAATGTCACGGATACATGTACGAGAGTAGATTGTTTGGAACTAGATTTTTTACTATACAAAAAAAAAAGAGAATATAAAAAAATATACAAAAAAAGGGAGAAAAAGGGAACCTGTCAGAGTTCCATCCCCACCCACCGCCCCCTCCAAAACAGAAGAGGGGGCAGAGATCATCATGGCCACCCCTGCCAAAGCAGAGGCAAAAAGAGGCAATCACTCTAGGATGGGGAGGATGAGTGTCATCACCCAGGTTGGAGTGTCTGGCTCTTTAAAAGAGTTCTGACAAGGCGATCTACTATAGAAAAAGATCCTATGAAGTAAAATCGCATGGCGAGAGGAAGAAGGGTGTGGGTGGGCGCTGCCTTTTATAGACTTGGGCCGGAAACGCCAATATGGGCGGCCAAGGTTGAGGAGCGGCGAATGTGCGGAAGGGCATAGGGCTCGAGGCCTTGGCTTGTCGTATGCTGTAAATAAAACCCAACCTACAGACACCAAACCCGTCCACCACCCGCCCGCCGCAGCAGACAACACCGCCGAGTGACATCTCGTGATGCACCACCACAACACACTCACACACTTCAATTGATCAGGTATATTTATTGCAAACAAATGAACTCCTAAACAATAGAAACAGTACAACGCTGGCTAACAAGCAAACAACCAACCAACCATCCAAACGCGCCCAAAAGTCTCCAAACACAAACCAACCACCGCACCGCACCACACCGCACCGCTCACGCATCCCACTTCGCCACCAAATCACTCGGCACCGGTCCCTGCGTGTCCTCCCTCCTCCTGTACACCTTCACGCCCTCGCTCTCCTTCCCACTCGTAAACACCAGCGTCGCCCGTCTGCCCTCCATGCGCTCCACCACCGTGCGGATGCGCGCCAGCAGCACCAGATAGCGCTTCAGCACCACCTCGTTCTCGTCCTCCCACTCGCGCAGCAGCGCCGCCGTCTCAATCTTCTCCACCCGCTCAAAGCTCCCGCCGCGCTGGTAGCCGATAAACAGGTGCGGCGTCTGCGAGAAGAACACCTGCGGGATGGCGCGCAGCATCATTGACGGCGCAGAGTTGTCGCTGCACGTCTTGATGCCGACAATGGACTCGTGCGGGTACAGCGGTGTCAGGCTCTTGTGGGCTTCGATGGCGACTACATGAGGGGGCATAAGGGTCAGCATCTCCATATACACCGAGAAGTTCAGACTAATGACTTACCTGTAGTCTTGACTCTGCCCAGCGTCAGCTTCGACAGGCCCTCGATAAACTCCTTCTCCAGCCAGTCATCCGCCTTCTCCTGCGGGCTCGCACTCTTCCTCCTCGCCGCCTCCCCCTCTCCCTTGCCCTTCCCCTTCACCTCCTTCTCCCTCTCCTCACTCCCCCTCCTATCCCTCTCCCCCACACCCCCTCCCGCAGCCTGCGCCGCCGCCGCCGCCGCCCTCCTCTCCCTCCTCCTCGCCCTCTCCCCCCTCTCCCGCTCCCTCTCCGCCCAAAACCGAAACTCCGCCAGCGACTGCGTAATCGCATCACCATGATATCTAACCAAAAACCGCATCCCGCCCATCTCATACTCCACCACGCGATGGTGGCTCTGCAGCTCCCCCTCGTCCATCACCGCCTCCTCCCCCGCGTCCCCGAACCGCGTGAACCGGTTCAGGAACTGGAACCCCCACCCCCGAAACTGCCCCTCCGGTATCACCTCGGAGCTATTCGTCTCCCACCGCGACAGCAGCATGCTCGCCCTTGTCCCCCCGCCGCCGCCCATGATGTCAACGTCGATCCGCGCCTCCTTCGGCGGGTCCATGTTGAACGGCTGGTGCTGTGTGCGCCCACCCCGCCCCCCACCGCCGCGATATCCAAGCCCTGCGCCGCGCCCCCGCGACGCCGGGCTCCCCGGCGGCGTCGGCAGCCCCCCACGCCCCCGATACCCCCCACCACCGCGGCCCGTGTGTGTCGGCGTCGTCGGTGCCGGCGGCGGCTTCACCTCGCCGCGCACAAACTTGAACAGCTTCAGCAGGCTGCTGCGGTCCGTAACAACATCAACACCGCGGATGTCGTAGTCGGGCCGGTGCGTGTACACGGCGCGCAGTAGCGGGCGCAGCGGCGTGCCGGGGGAGAAGTACTCGTTCTGGTGGATCATGCGGAAGCCCGTGTCGGGCGGGAGCTTTATGGGTAGTTGCGGGGGGTTCCAGCAGGAGGGGTAGCCTAGTTGGGTGTGTTAGTCGCACTGACACTACTAAACTGCTGGGCTAGGGTGCTATGGAGAGGCGGCTTACCGGGGACAATGATCTTGAGGCGCTTTCCCGGCCCGTACACCCAGTTGTAGGAGGATATGGTCTGGAGGGCGGACGGGTGCAGGTCCTGCTTGTTTATGGCGGCGAGGGCGCGGTCGGACTCTGTGGGGACGGCGATGGTGGCGGCGGGCGCGCCGATGGTGCCGTCGAGGAGCGTGCGCGGGGTGTCGGGCTCGAAGGGCGTGGGCCCGATGCCGGAGATGAAGCGGCTGTTTGCCATTGCGAGCTAGCTAGGTGGTAGTAGTAGAGGTAGTAGTAGTAAAGACAAGATGGGAGGACGAAGGGGGCAGCGGGAGGACTGTGGGGTTTCTTGCTGGCGCGGTGGATTGGGGGGAGGGAGGGAGCGGGGGTTATATACATATGTCTCTCTCCATCTACATGTCTAGAGTATGGTATGGTATGGGGGAGTCTACAGTCACTTCACTCGCCGTGCAGACAGTATGGTATGACGGTGATGATGCGTCTCTCTCTTCTGCTTCTGCTTCTCTTCTCTTCTCTTCTCTCCTCTTCCATTGCTGCGCTGTCCCCCAACCCCCCAAGGCTGAATTGTTTCCATCACCTTGACTCAATGTTCAATTCCTGCTAACACCAACAAAAACGATCAGGCAAGCAACATTAAGGGTCCCTCCCTCCCACGTAGGCGGATAGAGAGAGAGCGATTTCAAAAAATTCAGGCAAGCAACGTTACACCGCAACGGGTGCATATCGCACTTATCGATTGGTTGGTTGGCCGACACCGCTGCTGCTGCTGCAGACAATACCGTCGTCCGCCTTGCGGATACGGCTGTCATCATGAAACAGCTCATCACCACCCCCCCCGGCAATCTTTTGCCTGACCCGATCATTGGCCGGTCGGGGTTGTTGGGTGCGGGTCGAGTGATAGTTTATGACGGGGGTGAAACCCTAACCTTACTTACTCATTCGTTCACTCGTTCGTTCAGGAAAGTGCGGATTGATACAACAGACAACAGCAAGCAAAAGCCAAAATACAACCCCCTACCTATCATACCTACAAGACACAAAAAAAAACAGCAATACGAAAAGACAGAGAAAAGAGGACAAAAAAAAAAACATAAGCAGAGAAAACAAAATGCTCGTCAATTCCAACAACCCCCAACAAACAAGGACATGTGTTCCATCGCTACGTAAAGAAAAGAAGAAAAAAATATCATGCTCTCAATCCCTTGATAAGTCCCACACACACACACAAATTAATGCTTTCGTCTCATCAGCTCATCACAGTTCCCCCCCCCCCCCCCCCCCGCGGGCTGATCCCCCCAACAGCATATCAACATCCTACAATAGTTGCAGGGCCTCATACAACAATTACGTCTTCTCGTTTCATTACACCGTCCCACCGCCTAGAGCTCGAGCCCAGACAGATACTTCGCCGTCTCCGCGCCCAGCTCCATAAGCTCCGTTCCATTACGATGGTGACGATGATGCTTTTCCATCGCCGCACGATACTACACATCAAGACCCCATTAGCTTCCACACTCTCACTGACCAAAAGAAAAAGCGTATAAAAAGCAGTATCAAAACCCACCTGGAACGCAAAATTAACCCCCAACGCCACCGCCAGCGCCACACACACCACCACCGGTCCCAGCGCATTATCAAAGTCCTTACCCGAGCGCTCCCGAATCAGCTTTGAGCGCCACATGTACATACCGTATCCCCAGCCCGCCGCAAAGACCGCAATGCACGTATACACCAGCGCCAGCCACCTCGCGATAACGTTGTGCGTGCCCGCGGCGTTATACAGCCCGATACTCAAACTCGCCAGCAGGATCGACACATGCTGCCACTTCAGGAACGTGCGCTGATTCGCCAGCCATACTTTTGCCTCGACCTGCACGGGCCCAGAGTGCATGATGAGGGTCCCCGGCTTCTGCACACCAGGCGGGAGCTTGACTGCTGCGCGGTGGGCGCGGCCGTAGCGGGATGTGGAGAAGGTGGGGAAGAGGTTACGCAGGCCGGCGATGGTCGCGACGGTCGTAGGCTTGTCCTCGTCGTCGGTACCCGTGTCTTCGTCTTCTTCTTCCGTGTTCTCGCTGCCCACCTCCGTGACGTCCTCCTGCGGCTGCTTCTTGCCGGCGCCGCCGGTCTGCATGATCATCGGGAAGCGGCGGTCCGCGTTTGGCGGCGTCTGGCTGTATCCGCCGGCCGCGCTGCGTGGCGCGCCTGCACGGCCGCCAAAGTCGCGGGCGCCGGGAATGAAGCTGCCGACGATTGTCTCGTCCTCAATCTGCTTCTTGGCCTTCTCCTGCTCGGCCTCCCAGGCCTGCTTGGGGTCCTGGCGGATGTCCTTGTCCAGCTCGCTGAGCCAGAAGGGGAAGCTGTTGACGTGGTCGTCAAAGAGGACGGCGACACCGTGCGCAAACTTGCTGAAGCGCGGCGCGCTCTTGATGAGATGCGAGTTCATGAGGTCCTGGACCCACTCCTTGCTGCGCCCGCGGAGCGCCGACTCGAGCACCTTGATCTCGAGCAGCGCGTACGGGAAGCGCGAGATCTCGCCCTTGCGTAGCCCGCTGAACGGGTACTCCATCTGCGCGTCGTCAATGTCCTGCCTGTGCCAGTCCTCGGGGTCCCTGCAGGGGCGCTCCAGGTCCAGCGAGTCCTCCCTGATGAGCGCGAGGTCCGTGTCGAGCGAGACTCGGATGCGGTCGTCGCCGGGGATCTGGAAGGCAGTGCGCGTGTAGACGGCGCGCATGACGGGCTCGAGGTTCTTCTCCTTGATGAAGCCCTGGAGCGACTCGACGAGGGCCTCGTAGCGGTTGACGTCCTCGCTCTTGTTGCCGCGGTCCTTCATCTTTTGCACGTTCTTCTCCATGGAGTAGGAGCCGTTGATGAAGTCCTTGACGTACTTTTCCTTGATGACAATGCGCTCTTCAATTGCGCCCTCAGAATCGTTCTCGGCAGCACCGCCCTTAAGCGTCTTGCGCTCAATGCTGATGTCGGGCTTCTGTGAGAGCTGACCATACCAGCGGAGACGGAGCGAGGCGGCTTCGGGTGTCTTTGAAATCTTGTCAGTGTAGAGTGAGAACTTGGGGTTGTCAAAGTACAGAGAGTTGATCGTTGGGTCACGGCGATTGGCCTCAATCTCCTTTGAGGGCTGCGGGTTGTAGATCAGAATGGGGAGACGGCGCTGGATGAATGTCTTGACCTCGGCAACATTGCTGGGGTGCACCCAGAACTTGTGCGAGGTGTATTTTCGGTGGCCAGCCTGTGGGCCGGAGGCAACTGAGGACGCACGGGTCTGGCCGGGTCCGCCCTGCTTCAGGTTCTCACGGATGAAAGTGTCCATGGCCGAGAGTCTGCAAACATGTAAACATTGAGAACCGTGTGTGCGTGGAACCGCAAACCATCACGTGAAGAGAGATATTGATATATTGCTCACCTGTACAACAGCGGGCTGTAGTCCTCCTTGTTGAACTCTAATGCACTCAGCCTGACCTGCAGCAGCGGGCGAATCTTGTACTCCCCCACACCCGAGCTCGCCTTTCCCTTCCCCTTGCCCCTCTGCTGCTGCTGGGGCGCTCCTCTTGGGCGACGATCGTGCTTCTTCGCCGCCTTCAGGAAACCCGTGAAATTGACCCTGGAAAACACCTTGAGCTCGTCAATGTCGCTCGTGATCGCGTCCAGCTCGTCCAGCGTCTGCTTGAGCAGCTTCTGCTTCTCGTCCTCGCTAATCTCCTCCTTCTTGTCCTCGCCCGGGGCCGAGGCCGCCGAGAGTTTCTCCATGCGGGCCTCGAGCTTTGCCGTGCGCTCCTTGAGCTGGTCGCCCATCATGCGCTGGAAGTTGTTGACCTTCTCGAGCTGCACGTTGATGAGCTCCTCGACGAACGCGGACTCGTCGTTCTCGGTCCAGGGACGGCCCTCGTAGCTCTCATCGGTGCGGGAGGTGGGGCCGCGTTCCGAGTCGCTGTCGTCGCCCTCGTGCAGCAGACGCTTGAGCTTTGCGTAGTCGATGTAGTGGTCGCGCCATGGCGCGTAGATTGACGACTGGAGTGTTTTGCCGAAACGCATCTTTTGTGTGTGGTGGTGGTGGTGGTTAGTATTAGTATGTAGTTGGTGGTGGTGGTGTTGTTGTTAGGACGGATGATCCCTTCGATCCTTCCTGTCAGTAGTAAGAGAGGAATTGACCGTACAGAGGAAGAGGGGAGGGGAGAGAGAGAGAGAGAGAGAGTAGGAGAGAGAAGAGGAAAAAGAGGAAGAAGAGAGGTAGGTGGTCAATCGAGGGTTTTTTACCGCTCGATGATGGGTGTGATGTGATGTGATTGATGGGTGGTTGTGATGGTCGTCGATATGATATGTTAACTCGGCCACTCCACATCGAGGGTGCTCCAACCTTCGTTCTTGCTGTGAGACAATTAGCCAATCGCACGTACAACCCGCGTCACTTTCGTCGGAAGAAAGTGCTAAACTCAGTTGCAGAAAAGAGAATTAAAGCCCGGCTGTCCCGTTCCTTGGCTAAAAGAAAAATAAATCAATCGCGGTGGCCGCTGCTAGCCTTTTGTTGCTCTTCTTTTTCCTCTTTTTCCTTCCCTTCCTCTCGTCTCGTCTCGTCTCGTTTCTTACTTAGGTCGTGTGCTCGCTTGCTTGCTAGACTCGCAGACAGAGCGATTCTTGGTGAGCGTGCAGACAGAACCTCCACCGCCAATCAAGCAAGGGCTCAGGGTTACATCAGTCGGGGAAAACCATGTCTTGGCTGCTTCTTCAAAAGAAACACTCACAATTTTTTTTTCCCACCCTTTGCTTCACTTCACCTCCAACCCCCCACCGTCACCACCATGCAGGAACGACCACGACCACGACTATTACTATCACCATCTCACCATCACCGCCAAACATGGGCCAAACTAATCCACTAACAAAAGGTATTTACAATTCCGCTTTTTCTCTCACAGCACAATTTGCCCCTCCTCCTCCTCCATTCCCCTCGAAATGATGACTTCTGGCATTTGGCTTTAGTTCGTTGTCACCTTTCTGGTGGTCCTCGACAATGATGAAAAACAACCGCTACCTTAATAACTTTGTCTGATCATTAACACTTTCATTCCCCTCTTTTTACCCCCCACCATCATCGCTGCGAAAAATAACATTTTGATGAATCAAAATTGGCTAACTCGGCGATTCAGAACAGGAAAAAAAAAATCATTCTAGATACCTCCACCGTACCATACCATCGGCAATGACGGCCTCTGCGCATCGACTGTA